ATTTTATTAAAAAGTTGATATGTTTTTATAAATAATGTTATAATTTCAAAAAATCTTACACTCATATTATATTAGTTGTAACCAAAAAGTTATTTTGTTATTCGAATAAAATTAAGAAGAGTTAATTCAACTATCAATAGTTATCAATAAATATATAATTGTATTTTTTTGTTTTGATTTTATTCTTAAAAGCTTCATTTGAAAATCGCTGAAAGCATATCTAAAGTATTCGCCATGTGCCGTTCAAAATTCTTTTAAACTTTTTGATAAACTATATTATTTTATAAAGAAATCGTGTATCAGAAAACTTTTCATGGTCCGGATTACATTGAATGCAGTTTATAACTTAATATGATTTGGTATTTTGAGCTTTGTTTAGATCAAATATCTTCACATCCGGCGGACAAAGAATATCCGACGTATTATTTCTTTTACGTATAAAATCTTTCTTTATAACTCAGTATATGCGACGTGTAAAGTTTGTTCTCTAAACTGCTGGCGCCTGTTTGGCGACTTTCGGGATAGTGACACGTATCACGTATTTTCTAATGTTATATACACCAACTATAACAAACAAACGCTAGTCATAATTAACGTATACTATTACATATTTTGATCTTATATATCAAATATTAAATCTAAGGATATAACGTATTAAAATTTTAGACAACTATTAATTTCCAAAAAAAATTGATTTACTACCTTAATTTGCCTAAAATTACATTATTCATGTAAATAAATTATTTAGTCCAGGTGATATCAAAGAATTTCGTTAGTAGTTTTGGATAATCAAACTGATTTTTCCACTTTCTTTAAAATTTTCCAGATATTACATTATTGCGTAAGGATGAGTTATGAACAAAAGAAATCTAATCTGTAAAATGACAGATTTGAATCAATGCTTTCCGCCACGAGACGGAACATTGCACTTTGTATAATATTTGTTCGACTAATCCAATGCCTGTGATCTGATTAATGATAATGTTATTCGTCAACGGTAGATTGTTGACAAGATTCATGACCCCTGAGATTTTCAACCATATTTTATGGTATAGTTTCTTGAAAAATATTTTATTTGCTTTTAAATCAAAATAATTGATATCTTTTAGAGTTTTTTTTATACACTTTTAAACAAATTTTATTTATTATAGTTATTATTGAGGTGGACATAATGCCCATGCACTCAGACCTGTTGGTCCATGTGTATTATAAGATACAATAAAATTAAATTTGATAATTGATATTAAAGAAATTATTACAATGTTTTAATAATTTAACAATATTATAAATTATTTGATTTATTGTTGTCACCAGCGGAGGAAAAAAAACTTATATAGCTATTTTTTATATTAAAAAAATATATTTTAAGTCTGCTGTATTTTTGTACATTATGCAGTATACAGTTTTTACTACAAAAAAATAATGAGCTAATCAGTCTACTGTAATACGGGTTATCTTATAACTGTATAGGTGCTCAAATAATACAAGCATTTTAATAATTACTTCTTCATTTATTTCACATTTTCCAGTTAGTTACATTTTTTCTTGTCTAACTAATATTATTAGTCTCTTTTCGATTCCTCCGTGACTCAATTATATTCACAAGTGTTTATCAGTTGAGTAGTTTTACTGGAAGAACTCTCCGCTTATCATCAACTTCTAACAAACTAAATGCGATTTTTCGTTAGAGAGTCGCCAAATTGTTGGTTATATTAGTCATAATTTCAATATTACAGAATAATATAAAAATAAATCTTTGCGCTCTCCATGATGATTATTCATAAAAATAGTCATAAATAATAGTGACAATGTATTTTAAATCTATTTGAAAACCGTAACTGTCCTTTCTTTACTCGACAATTTTTGTCTATGTCGATAAAAAAACATAAAAGTGTCATATTTATAGAAATAAAGTGTCACTTTTCAGCAGTAATTGGTATCGAATTTTGGTATTTTTGGGAGTTCTCATCTACAGCCGTCCACTACTTTAACAATATGACGCATTATTCTTATAAAAAACTATTATATTATTTATAAACATATAATTCTAAAGGTGTCGGGAAACTAACGAAATGACCCAACGGCTTTATTCTCGAGTCTGACTGAATCCGTATTAAGGTTGTAATGGGGCTGCAATAGAAAAGAATAATAAAAAGTTAAGTGTGACGTCGTAGTAGATGGTTAATCAACCGAAACACGTCGAACAAGCCGGGCGGAAGAGCCTGATAAAAACTATGTACGCAATAACTACATTCGCCCGCGATGGTTGGAAAGAGCATGAAAAATCTTTCTTGAACTTACAGCACATGAATGTACTGTAAGTACAAGAAATATTTTTTCTTTTTTCTATTCTATATTTCTGTTAGTGACGTTTGTCGTAATCTGATATGAGTGGCTGAACCTGACCAGAATCAAATTTTAGCTGCAGTATCATTTGTGTATATGACCTATCTATAACATGAAGTTTGATAAGTCATGTTTTGCATATTTATAAAAAAACATTTATTTTCCAAAATTAATGGATTTTCATTTCTCCAAAAAAAGTTATTTAAAACTACTTTTATGGAAATTCTCCACTGGCCTTCGAATGAAAAATTTTATTACATCAAAGGGACAGTTGAATGCCATGAATAGTTCTTCACTAGTGATTAATCGTTAATTAATCTTGGATTTTTATCTTTTATAGGAGAACCAAAATGCTGAGTCAGAGAAAAAAAATAAGAATTAATTGTCTGTTGTTACCACGCGTGTGTTGTCTGCTAGCACATGCACTAGACTCGCATATTTACATAAAAAAAAGGGTTAACTATAGTTTATAATACAAGAGCTGCGGTGACTATTTTACATATACTACAGAACTATTTGCGTTGTTTTATTTCACTTTTCTCGTGTAATTATTTATTTTATAAGAACCCTTTAGTTACATTATCTTGTCCATTCTTTAGATTAGGTTTCTCTATTGTTGTTATTATTTTCATTCACAAGTAGACTTCCCCTATTTTGTTATTTTGGTGAATTATACTTGTTATTGATTCAATTGAATATATACAGAGTGATTTTTTTATCATAACCCACTCAATTACTTATAGAATAAATATAATTTAAAGATTTTTTTTTGGTTATCTTTAGTTACATATTATTCTTGAATTATTAACTATGCAATACTTTTTAAGTTCATCCCTTTTGCATTAAAAGGGTATCAACTTTTTTTTTTTAAATGAGAACTCATATTTTGAATTTAATAAAATGTTTTAGTTTTTAATTTAATAGTAAATAACATTTGAATTTTTAATAGAAATTCATTTATTAGATATAAACATTTAAAGTTTCAAATTTTTGAGTTATTATACATGTATAATACACAAGGGATTACAAATACAGGTAGCTAATTATTTTTTTATGACATTGCTGTCACAGTCACGGATTGTTTATTATCAATTATGACTATCAATAGATGAACTTTTTATATTATCAATTAGTGTATTTATAAACTCACAACAATGTGCCTTACTACAATTGATAATAACAATACTGTGTACCTGCGAATATTGATGTCATAAAAACCCAATTAGCTACCTGTATTTGTAATACCTTGTGTACTATATATGTATATTAACTTAAAAATTTGAAACTTTAAATGTTTATATCTAATAAATGAATTTCTATTAAAAAATCAAACATTATATTAAATTCAAAATATGTGTCCATTTAAAAAAACAAAGTTGATACCCTTTTAAGGCAAAAGGGATAAACTTAAAAAGTATTACATAGTTAATAATTCAAGAATAATATGAGTAAACTAAAGATAACCAAAAAAAATAGTTTATTTATTTATTTATTCTGTAAGTAATTGAGTGGGTTATGATGAAAAAATCACTCTGTATATTTATTATTGCATTACAGATTTAGTAAACGTTAAACTTACAACATTTATAGCCGTACAACGTTGAATTCTCTATATGCTGTCATTGTAAATATTAATTTAATCTTACAGCAGTTTCTGATGGTGTATGACTCATTATGATTGTCTAGTACGCATACAAAACATGTGTATACGGTCGTCCTGTTTAATCATAAAATCAATAATAAAAATTATAATTATTATTGTTATGAACTAAAATGACGCGTAAAAAATGCTATTCACTAAAATTTAAGCTATCAGCTATGACTATAAAAAGGACTAAATAATTCTATCTATTTCCGTAAATAAAAAAAAAATCATTAGAAAATGTTTTATTAAAACTCACAGAAATTATCCTTTAAACCATAATATGAAAAAGGAATAAAGAATTAGTTTTAACACTTTATAATATTTTAAAGGTCAATGTAAAACCAACACAATTTTAATTTTGATGTAATGTTTTATATATATTTTTTTTTTTGTTAAAAAACATTAATAAATATCATACACGTTGATGAATACGACCACATGTATTAAAAATGGTACAAACATAAATATTCATACGTGCAAGGCTGATGATGACATAGACTATAGGTACCATAAATATTAATTTGAAAAGTATAAAGCCAAATAACAGATAAGAATATATGTTATAAACACATTTTTTAACATGAAAATTGCATCCTTATACATGATATTTAGGTGTAATGTAATGTCATGTATTTCATTTAATCCGAATTATTTATGATATATTGAAGATTTATTATACGATCATAGAATGTATTTATGATATTATTCGAATGTTGAATATCATAAGCTATTCTATAAAATGTAGTTATTTATTGATGCAAGTTATATGAAAAATCATAAAAATTATTTTGTCACTAGTACTAAATAAAATTCCAAGTTGTTGATACATTTTTTTATGAATTCAACCACATTTTTAATTTCAATAAAAAATGTATTTTCATTTTGATTATTAAAAATATAAATGAAGAATTTTTTTTATCTGATTAAAAGTAGTATTTATAAACTAAGAGTAAAAAGTAAAAATAATTAAAAAACATACTTATGTTCACAATTTGATGTGTTGTTTCAGCGAGACTGGTTGCAGAGGGATGTGGATAGAGAGAGACGACTGCGATTGGATACTGAGGCTAGACTCAAGGGTTCAAGTTCCGAAGCTGACAGATGTCGAACCAAATTGTCAGCTCTTCAACGAGACTTTTCCAAGTGAGTTATGCTATAATCGCTTATTAGTATATCTTTTTTCTATCTATTTCTGTTTTCAAAGTGTATAACAATTCATAAAAATATTTATGTGTTTAACATGAATTATCAACTAATTTTTTCAATACCAATTATAATTGCTGTTATTAATAAAATTAAAATTAAACTTTTTTATTAGTACGTTCTTTCACAATTTTTAATGCAAAAGAAACACTTAATTCTTTCATGAATTTTGAGTTTTTACTGTCGAATTGTGTTTGGCTCTACTACAATTTTTAAAAATGACGTTATTTATAAATTTATATAGTAACAGATGTTACAAAGGATAAAATAATTTTAAATATAATTTTCCTTAATTATAATTTTACTAGATAAATACAAGTATTCATTACAAGTTAAATATATGTAAACTCAATTAGAATTAAATCTCAACCTGTAAGTAAATTTTACAATTTTATTTATTGACATTATTTATTGTCAAATAAACTATGAATTGAACTTGTATTATTAAATAACTTTGATATCATCAGAAACTTGAATAAATCAATTAAAATCTCAATCAAAAGTTTTCACAGTCACTTAACTAAAACACAGTTTAGTTATTCACTGAATTTCCTCTCTGGAGGTGTCACATATCACATCAACTATAATAATTTTTGGTATTTAAGGTATGGAGAATTCTTCCTCTTTCGCGTTTTCTCATTTCTCTGCGCGCCTTGAATATTAATTATATTGCATACATTCCATTATTGTTTAATATTACTGCATATAGAATAAAAAGGTCCTTCACACGAATTATTTACTCAATGAACACTTACTCGTTGGCTATTCACCGGAAAATCCTAATTGTCGCCCCTTTTCGCGGTTGTGTTTTTAGGGAAGTGGTGAATTATTTTGAGATATAAAATACATACACCCTTGTCAAGCCGGTAGTACTAAATCTCGCATCGTTAGTGAGGTATATGTATAACAGAATGTGTGTAATAAACGTTGCAGTCTACTATAGACATCTGCCGCTTGTCCCTTCTACAATATTATACACATCTATAGTGTACATATACCGGTCCAAAATTTAATGACCAGAAATAGATATTATAAGTGTACCTGTCTTGAAAAAGGGAGATTCTCGGAGAGCGGCCAAATGATAGCTTGTGCGCTCTTTATTCGAGGAAGTAGGATTGTCTTAAAATCATAATTATACTTTCATGGCTTACAATTTTTCTATGCTGCAATGTGAACTTTTCATGGCTTATAGGATTTTATTTCATCCGCGAAAATTCCTTCTCACAGTCCATTTAGATATAAAACTTTGGTCGCCAAGTATTATATTAATAAATATAAAAACATTCTACATTTAGATAAGTTTTCAAATATTTAGTAACATGTATTATTCACCCTAAAATTAGTTTAAATTCATTTTGTATTTTTAATGCCGGAAGAATAAGCTTCTTGAAATGTTTAATAGTTCAAATCCTAAAAGACACGTTACATATATTTTAAATGATTGTGATTATTTCTTTTGCAACGTTTCTTAAGACCAGGCGTAACGTTTTACCGGTTTTTAACGACAGTGCAAGGAGTTTGTACCCAGTAGGACACCCTTTTAAGATACACATGAAGATAATAAACTTCTTCTACTTTTAATCCCGTAGATTACTACTACTAGCCGCAATGGTGGTCTGTTATCTATTACTCTAGCATGCAGGAAAATCTTACTTGGGTTTAACATCGAAATGCAGAATATATAAGACTTGCGTATCCACTAACTTTCACCCTCCTTAAAAGACATAACATTTTATTGCGTTTTTTCACAGCCACCGTCAATTTTTGAGGGTCGAAGAAAGTTGTGAGGTATATTGTTATTACCAAAACTGTCTCTGCACTGGGATCTTTTCTTATCAACATGCTTACTTCACTTTTATTCAAAATATATGCACACATTCAAATTTTTGGCGTATTCTATGCTAAAGGATAAAAAAAAAAAGTCAGTGTAAAATCAATATAGTTTTCAGAAATGTTTTTCGAATAATATTTATTATTAATATTATTAAATAACTATACTAATTACTTAAAAGACTTGAAAATGATTAAGTAGTTATGTGATTAAAGCTATGTGAAAAAAAATTGTACATGGTATATACTCTTACTTTTACCATTTGTCAACTAAAAATACTCTGTTAAACTTTTTGGATAAGAACTTTGTATAATTTTAGTATGATAGACTATGCTGCTCTAAATATTATTTCAAGCAAGAGAAATCGTTGTCTAATTCAATGCATGTCTTAAATAATAGTGAATTCTAAAAAGTGACTTTTAGTTACCTATTTGTTTTAACTACAGTTGCATAGTAAAATACAAAATTCATTGAACAGCGGTGCTTATATTTTGATGTGATTGATCGAACGAACAACAGCTATCACGCAATTCCGACTTAAAGCACGTATACTTATTTAATAACGCACAAATTTATATAAGTATTCATATGCTGAATATTTTCATACAGCGTATTTGTGAAAAGTATTGTGATACAAAGATGGATTTTATTTTTGTTTCGTTTCAAATGTAATTATTTTTAGTGATCTTTAAAAATCTTTTACAATCAGTTTAATATATATTTTGTAAAATAAACTTACTTTTTGCTAAACCTTCTATTGCATATACTTAATATAATATGTTAAGCATATCCAGTAGTTAGTAGGACTGAGCCAGTTATTAACTGACTCGACAGCTTTTTGGCTTAATGTATGGGTTATGGTCACGAACATCATGATTTGAATCAGTATTTTAGAGTAAAATTTATAGTAGTTAAATAGCAAACGAACATTTTGTCATAAAACTTCTTAAAAATGATAATTATTGTTTTCGTTAGCATTTCAAAAGACTTTAAGATTTACTATGTAGGTTTGATCGGAAGATTGAAGAGCAATCTCATATTTCTCAAAATTTTAGTTTATTATAAGAGAATTTCAAGAACCGTATAACATAAGAAATAACTCATACATACGTCATAATAAAATTAATACATTCTCAGCTTCGCATCAAAGCTAAAAATGTGTGATAACAAAAAAGTATAGTTATTACAAACATTTTTCTGAAAAAAAATATCCTATAATTTTAATTGTAAAAATTATATTCTAATTCTGTATTTTTGTAAATTTAAATCCTATCTTCAAAATATAACAAAAATGAACCTTAAAGTAATGGTGGCTATGTAAAAAACTACTTTCTTGAATATCTTATTCACTACAAAAGAAATTTAGAAGATGATTAAGCACGCAAATCCTTTTCAGCCATCGATTTACCCGGTATAAAAGGGAGACACCACTATTAAAAACGTTCCGTTTATTGTAAAATGGCATTACATCCACCCACTTCAATACGTACTTATGGTGAATATTCTGTTGCATGGAAATGTTTTTATAGGCATGTGGTGGCCTGCAGACATATTCCCTACCAAACTGTCATAAACATACAAAAGTCATAATTTAGAAGGGCCTACAACTCATGGTAATTCACGGAGGTTTGAAGGTTTTTTTTAGAATTTCAAGATCACGTTTAAGAAAAATGCATTTATTAAACCGATGTAAATATTATCTTACAGTGCAAAAATAACAAAATGAACTATATTTGATTAAAAATCAAAAGGTATTCTAATTTTATATGAATCACTTTCATCAATCAAAGCATTGAGCACACTGTGCTACTTTACTGACAATTTCATTTCCATAGTAATTCCATTTTGATGTCATTTATAGTAGTTGAAATTCAGTAAAATAAGTTCTATACGAACGATAAATATAAACAAGTAGACAGGCCAGATTATTATTACTTAGCAATTTGCTTTATTATAATTTAGTATATTGTATATAACGACAGTTTTTGTGAAAAATTAGTCGAATAAAAAATATAATTTTCTCAGGAATATATTTTGAAAGTTTTAGTTCAATTGAGTAGTAAACAAAACTTTTTAATTTTATATAACTATAAAATAATAATTAGATTATCTATAAAAAAACATTAAAACCGCTTAACGCAGTAAAAAATTTTCATTAAATATGATAAATAAATTGAAAATGACAAAATTTGACTTGATCACTTTCTCAAAATAACCATCTATAAGTAGTTTTTAATTTTGAAGTTTAACGGAATTTTCATATAAACATTAACATACAAGTATTTAAATGAAAAAATACATAAATGTTTTTATTTAAAAGGGAGAGTTACTATGTTGTATAACTAAAATTATATTTGATTCAGCCAACTGGATGAAATCTGGTAAATTATTTGTTATTTCATATTTTCATATTCTTTTCGCACCGCAGTATTGTATCACAATTATATGCATAATATTCAGAGTTATCCGCCATTTTTTGACACTTTAAGTAACTTTTAATTAAAATATTTTTTGATACTTTTTTTAAATACTTTTTAGTCATTAAAGATATTAAAAACTGGTAGAACACCTTGTATATGTACAAACATTGGACTACCAATCCTTCATTGCAATAAAGAAGATAAGATATAATCAGCTCATCTGTACAAATTTATAAGGGTTGCTAAGCCAAACTCTATATTATAATTTACTCTAAACATGAATATTATTAAAAATTGTTTTATGAATACTATATTTTGCTATTTTTAATTGAATTTTCTTTTACAAAATGTTCATAAGTTTATCCTTGTTATTAAATTTTATACAAAAGCAACCAACAAATTATAATAATCTAAGTTTCATTGAAATTTTAAATAAAATTTAAGAATTTATGTAATTTAGGTAAAAATTTCACCTAAAAATATTCTTAATTGTATGAATATGTTTAAAACTAAATTACTAACCGTTTCTTAAAGTTCTATCAGCTTGCATCATATTGCTAGTATTGCTAGCATTAAAAAAAATGTAGATAGAGAACAATATCATCTTAAAAATGAGTAATTTTTAAATAAACTTTGTCGCCTATTTTATCATGAAAAATAACGTCCCTGAATATTCATTGGCTGTGAAG